AAATTACCAAAATACCCTTGGAAGTCAAAATGGTCAACTCTTTGTCAAAGTCAACCTTCCTGGTTGATTCTACTCGCCGAGTCGACCCGTCGACTCGTCGAGTTCCTATACTCAGAAACTCCCATAACACGACTCAACTCGCCGAGTCGCCCCAAGACTCGTCGAGTCCAACGATCTCCGAGTCCCATCCTGCTCAACTCACAGAGTCGTCCCTCGACTCACCGATTCGAGGCTTAACCAGAAGAGGTTAGGGTTCCGCGACCAGACTCGCCGAGTCCCATGCAATCTTCAACAGACTCGCCGAGTTGTTCTTCCAACTCGTCGAGTCCAAGGCATTCTTCATACAACTCGTCGAGTACACCCATGTGAATCGCCGAGTCTCTCCAGTTCTCAATCCATTCAGAGGCTTTTCGAGCCATGCAGGGGCTACAATCCATAGATCCACTCTTCTACAGCCTAACCCTCACATAAAGTTGCAAACTTTACGTGAAACCAAGGAGATATAGGCCCAAAACACTCTAGGGCTAGGGTTCATGACAAAGGGGCTTCACCAATAACTCTTAGACAGGAGCTTTATGGCATTAAGGACCATCACAAGCTTAGATCTGGAGTAGCAACCTCAGATCTAAGCTCCAAACCCGAAATAGATCTCAAACAAGCTAAGGAACTCCAAATCAACCACCAAGGATGAACCCAAAAAGGAAATAGCTTAAGATATTGGCTCCTTCCCTCTGAGATGTGCCCAAACTGATGTAGATCCCAGATCTACGCAAGCCCCTTGATGCTAGCCTCCAATTTCTCAAGCTCCTTCCACCAAATTCCTCTTCCAAGCTCCAATCTCCTCAACAATGAAGTCTCACACGAAATTAGGGTTTTCTGGAACTCTCTGGGGGATTAGGAGGTTGGGAGGAGGACATAATGTCCTTTAAATAGGGTGCAACCCTCGGGATTAGGGTTTTCTCTCTTCAGCACCAACTCGTCGAGTCCAAGTTGCCGACTCGGCGAGTTGGCCACTTAAACAGCGATAGAATCCCGCTCCGACTCGGCGAGTAAGCGGACCTACTCGTCGAGTCCCCTTTCTAAATTTACACTTTGCACCCTTCAACTTTTTGCTTCCGAACTTGGGATGTTACAGTACTGCTTATGCTTTTTGTCTGTATCGGAACATGACATCCCGAGGTTTTATAATGAAATGGAAAATATATTTCTTTAATAAATGATTTGATAAATTCTTATCATATTTTGTGTTGGGAACAAATTCCGCAACAGTTTTCTTTAAACGATTACTCTGATTTTAAAACAAAGCATAAACAAATCGGCATTTTCTGGCCGTGAAAATAGGGATGTCACACGTTACTTTTTATATCGTGCTAGTTACAGTTGTTTTTCTTATCAAGTTATTGTTATTAAGACATTGTTCTTTGTTAATCTAACTATCTATAGCCATTATACTTTCTTTTATAGCATTATTTTTATATAATCAAATATTATATTTTTCTAACCAAAACTGTTAAAATGTTATACTTCTACCTTTTTCTTTTCTTTTAAGTCATTACACTTTGCAAATATAAACATGTTTGATTTTGGTTACCTCTTATAAGTTATACTTCCAAATTTTTTCTCTTCATTTATTTTTTTGTATTTTCTATTTTCATGTTACGACCTTATATACTGAAATTATGACCATTTAGGGCATTCTACTTTTAATTATTTTCTTTTTTTTAGTTACCATGTATGTATAGCTTTGTAACTTAATTTTTCTAACCATTGTAGTTATATATATATATATATATATATATATATATATATATTAAGACACTTTACATCGACTTTCTAACCAATTTTAGCATTATATTTCATGTATAACATTTCTTTATAAATTCCAAGCTATTAAGACTATCTATTTATCCTTCTTAAAACATCGTACTCTAAAAGTGTAAACTTATTTGGTTTTGCTTACAAGTTATAGCATTGGACCTTCATTTTTCTATTAAGACATAGTACTTTGAAAATAGAACCAATTATAGCATTATACTTTTCATTATAACATTATACTTACAAAATTTGACATATTAAGATAAATTACTTTTACTTGTTTTTTACAAAGACATTTTGCTTTGAAAACCTAACCAGTTGTAGCTTTAAATACTAAACTTTTACCATTTTTTTTAAATCTAACTAATTAAGACATACTTTTTTTTTTGTATTAAGACATTGTGATTAAAAAATCTAAACTTTGATTTTGGTTACCACTTATAGCATTATGTTTTTATTTTATTCTTTTCAAACTAAGTCATTATACTTAGAAAACCTAAACATGTTTTATTTGGTTATTAGTTAATATTATTTTGATTCTATTTTGGTTACTACTTTTAATGTTTTTTTTCCATTAAGACATTGTGTATTGAAAATCTAACCATTTATATAGCATTGTACTTATAGTTTATTTATTTTTTTCTTATCAACACATTGCACTTTGAAAATCCAAACTTTTTTTTTCTTTTGGTTGGCAATTACATTTTTATACTTTTCATTTTTTTATTAAGGTATCATCTTGTTAATATTTCCTGTATAAAAGACTACTTTGAAAAGATAATCACATAGTGATATATATTTTTTCAAAATCTAATCTGTACAAACATTATATTTTTCTGCTAAGACATTTTATGTAATAATCTAACTATTTAATATTTTTTACTTTCAGTTTAGCATTATATACTCAAAATTTAACTTTAGAATGCACTTTGAAAATATGAACTTTCTAAATCTAACATATTAAGGCATTATATTTTTTTTTCTTTCTAATAGGACATGTTACTTTGAAATTCTAATCTATTAAGAGATTGTAGTTTAGTTTTTTTATTGTGCTTTGAAAATATTACTTTGAAATCTAACCAATTGTAGCATGATTCTTCAATTTTAACATTGTTTTTTCAAAGTCCACTTATTATGATGTACTTAAGAGGTGTTATACTTTCAAAGTCCACTTTTGAGTATCTACAGGTGTTATACTTTCAATTCTACTATTACTTTTTTTTTCTTCCTATTAGGACATTTTACTTGATTCTAAGTTCTAATTGAAAATCTAAATTTCCTATTAGGACATTATAGTTAGTTACTAACTGTAATTTTCTATTGGGCCATTTTATTTAGAAGTTTTAATCTATTAAGTCATTAATACTTTCAAGTTTCAATTGTTTTTTTTTCTTCTAAGCTATTATACTTTGTAATCTAACCTGTTTCAAAATTATAACATCACACTTTCATACTAAGACATTGTAGCTATTATTTTTTTTTTGTTCATTTTCTGTTAAATTACTTTGAAAATCCAACATTGTTTACCAATCACAGCGTTATACTTTCAAATTTTCTTTTTAAGATTGAGTTTTTAAGACATTGTATTTTTGAAATACTGATTTTTGTTACCAGTTATAGTATTATTCTTTCAGACATTGTACTTTTAATTCAAAATCTAAAGTATTAAGACATTGTCCTTGAATTTCTAAACATGTTTGATTATTGTTACCATTTATAGCATTATACTTTGTTTTGCATTCACTCACATACAACTTTAGAGAAAGGGGTAAGATGGGAAATCAGCATAATAAAGTTAATTATACTTTCATTTATATCATTTTACATTCAAAAATCATAGGTTTATCATATGACCAAATGACTGTTTTACCCTTTTGTCTTTATTTTTCTTCTCAGAGTTATCTGATGAAATACCAACATCATTATCACTGCCTAAATCTGCAATGATACCAACACCAATTGATCAAACCGTACTAGGTTGTTCTTTATCCCTACAAAGATCATCCAAATGAGGCAGGGGCATTTTAGTCTTTTCAAAGACTTCATGCCCTTCACTCAACATAATAAGCTCATCCGTTTGTGTCACAAATCCTTTCCACTGCACACATGGTTGTTTTTTTTTTTTTTTTTTTTTTTTTTTTACTTAAACTAGAAAAATTGGTCTAATGAGTTAAGCCATAATATCAAGACACTAACTTTTTACCTATTTGACTTTCTTTTTTCCTTTCGGCTCGATGGTGGTTAATGAATGATAAGGGACTATTTCTGCAATTTCACTCTTACATAGAGATCATTTTTGTAACTTGCATTAGCCTTGATCCAGCAATTGATTAATATTATATTATAACAAGAAATCAGCCTTACCCCATTTGTATGGAACTGGGCTAATTAATGTTATTGTTGTATAACAAGAAATCAAACAAAAGGTTTATAAATCGCCAAATAATTGTTTTCTAACAAACTATGGATTTCTTTTATCAACTCATTGATATCACAAGAAACCAAACAAAAAGAGATTTATGAGCCTTCAAAATCCAAATTGAGATTATTAATATGTAATATCTTTTAGCTAAAACATGGAGCACTGATCAAGTTAGAATTGTAAAAGTCTCTGCAAGATGTTTGATTTTGATTAATACAAAAACCCATCAATGTTATCAAATTAAACACAATAATTGGATATTATAATGTCTTTCACTCAGTGGTAGATATGTATTTTAGGGAATTAAGCATGAATATGATATTATTATAAATATTGCTATTTCTTTTAGAGAGAAGCATATGATTTAAGTTGTATATGCACAGAATTAGGCCATTCGACTAATAATGTTAAGATGTGGTGGATAGGGTTAAGTTGTATATGCATCTTAGATTGTATTTCACATATATATATATATATATATATATATATATATATATATATATATATATATATATATATATATATATATATAACAAATAAATTATATCAACTACAAGGACAATTTTTATAATTTATTTGTTATATATATGTGAAATACAATCTAAGATGCAATTTTGTTTGAATATTGCAATGTCAAAGTCCAAAGTAAATCATTATTATAACGATTAATCAATAAACATAATAATAAATCGATGTTCTAACTATGAAAAGAGAAAAAAAAAATAACAAAAATAAAACCGTGTTTTTATATCTTCTGTTGGGATGTGATTTTCTTCGGTAAAATCAAAATTGAAGTAGGGAAACAAAAGAATGGAAGGTTTTAATGTTTTTTATTTCATTCTATTTCATCTCATTATTATTTTTGTTTTTTAAGAGGTCTGCAGAAGAAAGTTTGAAAGACATTCGATCGAAGGACCAAATTTCAATAGTTTGAAAGACATTCGATTTTCAGAACATCTCTCACCAAATCTGAGATCCGTGGTAAGATTAGGTTCCATACTTATCTCCGATTCAAAATCGATAGGCGTACTGTAATTTCAACATTGTTTCAGATCCTTGTATCCCTTTTAACCTTTGATTTATGTGCCGATTCATGATAATATCTGGATGTTTTACTCTTCGAACTATGTAGGATTTCTACAGAGATAAAAGAAGTAATTAGCGTCTGTAGACATGGATCCCGATTCAGTTAAATCGACTCTGCAGACTCTAGCATTTGGAAATGTAATGGCTGCAGCTGCTCGTGATTATCAGAAGGTATTTGTATTTCTATGTCATGAAGTTCAAATTCTCTTACGATATTAATTTTACTTTTTTTTTTCAAACACTAGATTTCATTGTAGGGTTTGTAAACTGAGACGAGATATGTTTATCAGATTCCAATTGCAGTAGTTTCTTTTTCCGGGAGTTTACTGTAGTAATAAATTTTATGTTTAGCCCAAAAGATCTTTATTTTGAAGCTAAAAACTAGTAAAACCAGTAATCTGTGAAGAGAATGCTTAACATATTCAAGATTTGTATTGAATTTTATAAATAGTGAGCATTCTGCTCCTTCACATTGATGAATGAAAGTGTAAAAAGAGAAAAATGTCTTGTACCCTTTTTGATAGTGACAACTGATGAAGGATGAGTGATTTTAATGTATATTTTGCTCCTTCACATTGATCAATAGTACTCATGTATCTATTTAATTCTTATAGGAAGTTGCAGCTCATGAAAAGGCACAATCATCATACTCTGTTAATGAGGAGGTTGATCTAGATGATTTGATGGATGTAAGTTGCAAATGCATGTTTATTGTATAATATACATGTTTTTTAATCAAATTCTTCATTTTAATTCCACTTTTATGGAACTGTATATCAGGATCCTGAGCTGGAAAAGCTGCATGCAGATAGGATTGCAGCTCTTAAGGTTGTAATTTGATTATTATAATGCAAACACAAGTAGAAAATGAAATTTGGTAAAGTCTCATATGTTTTTTATTAAATTTTTTTGTTGGAAAAGAGAGAAGCCGAAAAGAGACAATCATTAACGAAAAAAGGGCATGGAGAGTATAGGGAGATAACTGAAGGAGACTTTTTGAGTGAAGTCACTACCAGTGAAAAGGTGATTTGCCATTTCTACCATCGGGAGTTCTATCGCTGCAAGTAAGTGACCATTTTGCCCTTTTAAGATTCTAACAAACAATTTTCACCATATACTTTCTTGATATATATAATATCTGTTATTATAGGATAATGGATAAGCATTTGAAGTCTCTTGCAACAAGCCATCTTGATGCCAAATTTGTTAAGCTAGATGCAGAGGTTTGTTATTATCATTTTTAACATCAATGTTTTATTTTCTCTACATATATATTTTTTAACATTTTTAAATATTACATACAGAATGCCCCGTTCTTTGTGACAAAACTAGGAATCAAGACATTGCCATGTGTCATATTGTTCAGGTCAGACATGTTTGTTTATTAATTCTATTAATGTCAATTTTTCCTTTTCTGTGTTATATTTTATGGGATTAAAAATTCAACTTTTTTTTTTCTCAGAAAAGGAATTGCAGGAGATAGGCTTGTTGGGTTTCAAGATCTTGGAGGAAAAGACGATTTCAGCACAAGGAAGTTAGAAGCTTTATTGATCAAGAAAGGTAACATTTTTTTTATTAATTTTCTTTCTAAAAAGTTCCTGTACTTTTAAAAACATATATAAAAAGGGGAAGAAATAGCAACAGACATTCATTTATTTGGTTAGAAAAGTAGCAGTATTATCAGATATAGAAGCTTTATTGATCAAGAAAGGTAACATTTTTTTTATTAATTTTCTTTCTAAAAAGTTCCTGTACTTTTAAAAACATATATAAAAAGGGGAAGAAATAGCAACAGACATTCATTTATTTGGTTAGAAAAGTAGCAGTATTATCAGATATAGTATCAAAAGTTTGACATCTTTAGACAAAAAAAATATATAAATGGGTGAAATGCAAGAATTTGAAAGTAGGATGCTGTAAAAAAATAAATAAATGAAATTATGTTTTGTGTAGGTATAATTGAGGAGAAGAAAAAAGATGAGGATGAAGAAGCTGAATATGACGAAAGTAGACGTAGGACAGTTAGATACTCTGGAATTCATGATTCCGACTCTGAATAAAAAAAAAAAAAAAAAAAAAAAACTAAAATGGCTCTGTTTCTCAAAAGTATTAATTCCATTTCCAAATCTTATCTGCTATATGTATAATTAAATGTTTGCAAATTCGAAGTATGGTGTGTTTGCATTTAAATAGTTGCTATCTAGTTCATCATCAAAATGTATGTAGTTGATTAAACTGATGTAATACATTAGAAATTCGATGCATTTACTGATGTATAAAGATAGATTTTTCAATGTGGATTGCCTTGATAGGATGTTATAAAAGAGATACGAAAGTAAGGTGTTCTAAAATGAAACTTGAAATGAATCCAATTATTTCAACTATGCTATTATGAAAATATAAAAATACAATGCCTTAATAAGTTTGCCATAAACCAAATATGAAAGTTGGATGTTATAAACAAATACAAAAGTTGGATGTTGTGCAATGTTATAATACCGATATCAAAGTACAATGCCTTACTTTTATTTTTCCTATAAAGACTTTATAGTTTGAGCATCTAACAAATGATAAGATTACACATTCAAAATGTAGCCTAATAAAGATATTTTACTTTTATTTTTTCTTGTTATGATGTTGTACATTATAAAACTAAACTTGTTTGATTATGAGGTGTTGGATGTATAAAGTTCATATCTTGGCACTTATTCTTCTAAATTCAAGTTTGAGGTCATATTTGGATGGTTTTGGCCCCTTCCATCGATGCTCTTGGAGTTTGAGGAACTTAGTATGCCTTAGTAAGGCTCCTCTGTGGTCTATATGCTTTGTAGAATGGAGTCACTTTGTGTCATTTTGGCTTTATTAAGGACTTAGGATTGTAGATCTAGTTTTAGAATGAAGTCCTAATGGATAAATTTAGAAACTTTATCCATTAAGTCATTGAAAAGTAGACCTGAAGTTTTGGGTTTAGATCTCTAAGGATTAAGCACTTAATGAAGAGAATGACATTCTGCCAGTTCCCACGACCAATCTGATCCGAACTTTATTCATTTTGTGTTTATTGGTGCCGTAACCGATCCGAACCTCCTATTTGAAAATTAAAATGCTCTAGAACCCTCTCCCAAAAATGCATCCAAACTTTATTGATTTCCGCATACTTTATCTTTAGAAACATCGACATATGCCCTAGCCAAAGCCAACTCTTCGCGTTTCACCCAGTTCTTTCGCTTTTAGCGGTGTGTATATGTAACACCCCAAAACTTTCAAAACTTTAAAATGCTATGGTTTTAAAAACATTCGGTTATTAACACACATTTAACAAAAATGGTCCCACAAAAACATTTACAAAATAAAAACATTGGGTGTTACCATTAAGCATCAATACAATCATAACAAACAAATAAGAATTACATCAATACAATAAATAATGAACTTAACAAGTTCCACTCTATTCTCTGTCTCATAACTTCTACTTCTACTATCATCTTTCTCCTTGAATATAACTTGAGATACATGACATTAAAAAGGAATACGTAAGACAAAAATGTCTCGTGAGCTACATGAGTTTTAGATCATAAAACATTTTCAATTATTTTCAAGGAAAACTCCTTTCATACATACCATAAAGCATTTTCAATCATTTACATGAAAAATCATTTCGTACATAACATAGCATATCATATCATAGGTCTCATTTCTTATCTTATCATTCCATTAGCTTCTTTTCCATTTCCATTTCCATTTTCCATTTCCAAGACCAAGGTGGAAAGAACAAATCAATCCACCAAGGCATCATGCTTTTCGTTTCCAAGACCAAGGTGGAAAGAACCAATCATTCCACCATGACATCATTTCCAAGACCAAGATGGAAAGAACATAATCAATCCACCAATGCATCATGCATATATGACATCTGCTTCATGAAGGGGAAGGTACCATCCTAGTAGGTTCCTCTAAACCTCTTATGAGGCATCACGACTCAGACAGTTTTCATTATTTATTTACTTTCTTTTTAGCTTTCACTTTGCACATTATCAATACTCATATCATCATTTATAATAGTGTAGGTTACTAGTTAGATATACTTTGAAAAGACATTTCCCATATCAAACAATAGTTTTTTTTCCAATACATTCTTTTCTTTAAAAAAACGTTCTTTCCTTCAAGGCATTCTTTCAAAACATCATTTCCAAAAGCATTTGACACTTTTATTTCAAAACATTTCATATATCAAAGCATTATTGGTGTTTCATTACCATAAAATCATTTTTCCATGTACCCTAAAATGGGAAAAATGCCAACAGTACTGACCTCAATCATGAGAAGCTTAGCTAGTCCTTATTTAGTTCCTTTCCTTAGAGCAACACTCTCTAACATCACATATATAACATGAAGGTGAAGGTCAACAAAATGACCAAATTACCCTTCTAAGATTTTCAACATAAAGTTTGAGGACAATCGGAGGTCATTTACTAGATTTTCCATGAAAAAATATGTACTTAACAGGACATTTGACACGCCTCCGTATCAAAAGTGCAGGTCACCATTTTGGGCAAAAATTTGTTAAATGCTTTGTAACTTGTTCCCTAGACCTCCAATGGCCACTAAACTTTACCAAGTGTTTTTTTGGAAAGGGAACTTCCCTAACGAGGATTTCCGGGCCAGCTTTCACGCACCGACTAATCCCCCGCTGCAAACATGAGGCTTTGCCTCATGCCCTGGAGTCACTGCAAACGAACCTCCATGGCCACAAGGGCTGAGTAGTGCCAGGATTTGAACATGGTTATTAAGGACTAAATAAAGGTTATCAACTTCTCAAATACTCAGTTAACCCCTATCCTCATAATAACTTAATCATTAAGACCTTTGTCACAATGCTAAGTTCATAATGCTTATAAACACTCAAATGAAAGGGTTAAGAGCTCAAGTTGATCAAGAACACTCTTTAACCAATATTACTTTTTCACAAATCATCTAATACATCATTGGGTGTTGTCAAGTGCTTAACATTACACAAAGCTCATGTTAATTCCATAATAGAGTTACAGAATGTCCAATTCCAACTTCCCCATTGTGCCCTTTGGGCCAAAGTAATCACTAGAGCTAAAACCTTAATAGCATACCTCCATGTTTGTGTTTCAATATAATATCTAGAGTGTCAATTCATGTTCATGCATGTCATTCACTTCTTATACGTCAATCATCATGTAGTTATCCATAGATTTCCAAAAATGACCTTATGGCTAATTATTCCATAAATTCAACTATAGATCACTCAGACCTTCATGTTCTCGCATTCAAATCATATTATTAGTATCAACTTATGTTTATAGATATAATATAATCATCAAATGATCACATACAAATGATTCCTTTATTTTTATCACATTTTCCCCAAAATCACCTAAAATCCATGTTTATACTTGATTCTATCATCATGGGTGTGTTTAAGCATTCCAATTGCTTTATTGTCATCAAACATCATCTAGGTCATTGAATCCATTCCAATCTAACATATAAACATGAAATCCCCAATTTGAACTTCTAGGGTTCATTAGGGTTTTCACTCAAATCCTCAAATCCATCAATAGGATGATTGGATTGAGATTGGGATCATCAAAACAACTCAAGGGAGGTTAGAAACCATAACCTAATCAAGGAATCAAACTAATTTCGACATTGGGGTTTTTCCCAAACCTTGAATTCAAAATATATAGTTTGAGAATAAGAAATTATACCTCTCAAGCTTGATGTTGCTTCATATCTTCAATTACTAACTTGATTCATCAAGGTATCCGGTGTTGCCCTCCCTTGTTGAGGTTGAGGGTTCAAGTCCCGCAGTGGACATAGGTGGATTTTAGGAGTAAAGTATGTATTTGCCGTTTCAAAAAAAACCACTCTAAATCTTCATTTGCTTCATAGAAATCACCATTTCCCTTTATCTTTCTCTTAGTCACGTTCTTCCCAATCAAATGGGAGAGAAGACCCATTAACTACTTTTGAACTTTCCTAACTTGCCACTTTTGGTCTCTCTTTTCAAAAGCTCTTTCAAAATAACTCCAAACTAACTTAGAAGCTTCAATTAACCTCCAAAATGGTCCCTCTACATCCAAATCTTCACCAACTTAGTCCAAGTTATTAAGTTGGTCAAATAGCTAGTCAAACCTAAGTTTCACCTGATTGTCACAAAATAGCCCTTTAACTTTTAAGATGTTATAATTTTCACTTCTAACCTTCTAAATTTCATATCAACTAACGATATGCTTACTCATTAATGCTTTAACTATATACATCATCTCTCTTTTATTCACTTTATTTATTTAAGAACTCAGTCTTAAATTTTAGGATGTTACAGTATATTTGCGTTTTTTCTCAGCAACGGGTTGCAATTCCTCACTGGTTTCTTTTGCGTTTCTTTTGGGAGCCGGGTCGTCACTAGAACTGTCAAATTCTATATTTTGAGCATCAAGGAATTTCTCGGGTTGAGAAGATTGGAATTGAGTTTCTGGAACCCTTTGAGAAATATGTTGTAAGATTGTTGCATTTGGTAATTTTGTTATGGGTAGTTTTGGTATTGCCGATTGTTTGGGTTTTGAAATTATGGAAAAGAAAATAGAATATTTTAACTTGAATTGTCTGGTGTGGATTTAAGTCTTTGGTTAGAACCGGTTTGTTTAACTTTGCCTCAGGAATCCATTGAATGTCACCGAAGAAATTGAGCAAATTATAAAAAATTTCAGACAAAACAACTAGAGTTTAGTGAAATTTGAGTTTCAAGTTTATACAAACTTATATTTTAATGCAAAAAATTAAAAATAAATAAATAAAAGAAAAGGACCAAAGATGCATGCAAAAGTTAAAAGTGGGTAGGTGGGCCTATATTTCTTTGTATCTGCATGTGAATCGCATGCATTCACATGCATTCGGTTGTCAATAAATTTAGTAAAAAATCAATGGGTTAGTGAAACCGATTTAATGCCTTAAACAAATGAACCCATTTAACAAGGAACAAATAACCGGCGGTACCGCCAATACTGCCATTTACTGTCTGTAAAAGTCGCGACGAGACCCTCCTCTCTAAGAATTATGTACATGTTAAAACATTACAATGTCCAATTCCAAACTAAAACAATCATATAAAAGTATAAATATTTAGTTAATACATATATTATCTTATAAAAAATCGAAATCAAACATTAATTGATCGACTCGAGTTGTTTTATAGATAAATAAATAAATGATTTAACAGGAAGTGTTAATTATGGAAAGGTTTTAAATATTAGATAATAAATAAATAAATAACCGTTGGAAGTCGAAAAGATTGGGTCGGTGTTGGCGCATAATATATTTCAATCGTCCCGCTCTCAACACACCCAAACACCGCCGGTCGCCGGAGGCTCAGAGTGATCTCTGTAACTCCGCTCCGCGGAGAACTAAACACCCCCTGTCCCAATCCTTAGCAGGAGACCCACTACCATGGCTTTAATCCAATAATCATCAAGATCGTGGATGCTGTAATTTCCTCTGTAAGTTTAAAATTGATGTAGGGATGAGAAAAATCCAAGGTTAATTGCTGTTTTCTCAGTTCTCTCTCTCTCTCTTCTCAATAGGGTGTCTTGTTTTACCCTCTATTATTTCGATGACGTTCTTATTTTTGTAAAATTTGATTTTCTGGGTTTAATTAACTGCACTACAGACTGTTTCTATACCTTGGTTGATCTTTTCGTTGGGGGGGGTTTCTTCTTTTTCTTTTCATTGGGGGTTTTGCTGTAAAATCTAATATAGAGTGTCTGTGTTTCGATCGTTTTGTTGATCGATTCGCCAATGCTTTTGTGTGTTTGGATGGTTTTGAGAATGCATTTCAGTTTTATGAATAAGCAATTTGATCAGATCACAGTTTTCTGTGTGTGGGTATGCAACTTCATTTAGTAACCTTTTCTCCTATTAATTCCTTGAGATGTCATAATAAAAGTGATTGGTGGTGATAACATTGAAGGACTTCTAATTTCTCCAAAGTAACTACCTTCTAAGTTCTAAGCCATTCTAGGATATGGAACACGTAAATCTTTTAAGAAGATTTTTTTTTATTGTTTTTCTCTTGCAGTTTCTATCCAACAAAGGGTTTTTTGGTCAGCATATCCAATGACAATGATATACAGGTAGCAACTAGTTTCTTATTTCTCATTTTTCACATAATACACTAAACTACCTATCCAGATAATTTAGGTTTTTTGTGGTCTGAGTTAAGCAAGAAAACTCCATTCACAGTCAAAGTTTGACTTTTTCCAATCAGGGTCCCACTTGGCCAATCCCATGGTAATGATTTTAGATAAGTACAACCTCAAGCAACAAAAGCAGAGATGATCCAAACAAGAATCATGTTGATATTATCAGAAGAGCAAACCACAGTCGACCTTCAGTGATCAGTTGTAAATGCCAGGTCATCATATGCAATTTCATTTGATAATTATGAAGATGATGATATGTTGTAAGGGTTTCTTGTAATCAGGTATTAAAAAGATTGGTTTTTGTTAAATGTTAGAATTTTAGTCTTACTGAGTGTAACGCTTCATTTGTTTTTGTAATTTAGTTGAAATCTTTGGATATTTCATTAAATGGAGCTTTAAGAAGAAAGATTATATAAAACATACATTACTTTCTTTTCGTAAGACACAATAACTAACAATTTTCTCAAAATCTCAAAGATTTCAAATCAGTTTGAGTTTTATAGTCACTTCTTCTCAAAATAAGTTTTTTTAATAACAATTTATTTTTTGTTTAATTTGGAGGATTGATTTGCAGCCTTGGAGAAGAAAAGAGACTAAATCTTATACAGTTTGCCCGAATAAAATATCCAATTGCTTGTTCTTTTGAAGAGTTTTAGTTGCTTTTGAAAGTGGATTAATTATTAATTATTGTTTGGGATGTCCTTGAAGCTCAAGTGGTTGTAGTTACAGGTGATAATGTTGTTGAACTAAAGAATGGAGTTGTTGTTGGATACATAGATGGAGATAAAAACATCAAAATCAAGTAAAACCCGAAAATCTGGAGCATCAAACAATAGTTAATGTTGATTAATTTCATCATATTTATTTATGTATTTTTGATGTCTACCGAGGCTTATTCTCTCTACTATTATGTGTTTGTTCCACAAATGTGCTTTCACTAATTTGAAATCAGAGAATAAGAACAGATAATCCAAGCTTCAAAATAACACCAAAAATGAACAATTAAACCCTAGAGATTCGAGGTGCAAAACCTGATTTCACAAAAAAGATGCCCTTCTCTCACAAACTCACAGACTAAATTTATAAACTATCCCATTATTTGGCAGAATTCCCTTTTTACCCCTTCTGAAATACCCCGCCCCTAAACAACCATCTTGTCTTCTGTTTAATCTCTCCTTCTTATTATCAAGAAGAACTTTCTTTCTTTTTGGCTTTTCATACCTATTTTTTCTTACCAGTTTTAATCAAAAAGTCACCTCTTTGTATAGATTTTTACTGTTTCAATCAGTAAAAGCGTACAATTTTTTTATTTTTTTTATTTTTTTTATTTTTTATTTTTATAGATTTTTACTGTTTCAATCGGTCTTTGAAAAGGTTACTGTTTCTTACCATTTTACGCCCTCCTCTCATTAACATTTTCATTTTCCCCCTTAATCAAATTCTAATTTAAGTTTTTATTCTTTTTTGACATTTGAATTCATTTTTGATGTTCATCTTGTGGTTTTGGTTCTTGAAAATCAAAATACCGACATCTTCTATATACGACTTGTATTTACATGCAGGGGCGGAGCCAAAAAAATTTTTTAGGGTATTCCTTTTATATATATATATATATATATATATATATATATATATATATATATATATATATATATATATATATGGCCGGCCCAAAATGTTAATGGGCTTGGGTTATGAACTTATAATCTATAATCTAATGATCGAGTCGATTCTATGATTGTAACCGGACCAGACCGGAATAGGGTTATATACATTCTCATTGTGAGAAGGGGTCATTTGAGCATTGATTTTGAAGGTGTAAAATAACCCCTTAAATACAATTTTTTATATATAAGTAAATTAAATTTGAAAAAGAAAAACTAAAAAATAAATAAACTTATCTAAGAATGGAATTGTGCAAATTTATAAAATTTAAGGTATGAAATATGTAAATTTTAAAAACTAACTTATTATAGAAATTGAATTTCTAAATATGAGGAGCTAACTTTAAAAATGAATTATTTAAAAAAACATGTCAAAATGTAAAGCCATGAAATGGATCCCATAGTCTTTAAGGATTTGATATTATGTGCCTTGCCAACTCCACTACATATGTTTTCTGAATTACTTACACCCAAATATTATTTTATTTTGAAATATAAAAAAAAAATTGAAAATTTGAGGGTGGGCCTGGGCCTACCCTGGTTCTAGGGTGGCTCCGCCCTTGTTTACATGGTAACTAACAAATTCTGCATCTTTATTATCTTCACTTATTATTCTTCATCACCTATAACTCATAATATGCAAATACTGCCATGTCAACATGATTTTTTTTTTAATTACAAATTTAGGAAGCAACTAAAACGTCTAAAGAAAAGTCACTTTGGTCTATGAGTATGGAAGATGTACTATTGGTTACTTGTACTAGATTCTTAATTATTTTTTGTTATGATTTCTATCATTAATTTCTACTTTGAAATGGAAATTTTAATTTAGTTATGGAAAAGCTTGTAGATAGTGTCATATATATCTAAACCTACAAATTAAAAATGTCTTTAGTGGGTGGAATGCTGTGTTAAATTAAATTAACTAATGAACAATTATTAATCTTCTTCAGGTAAATAGATAATTCTGAAAACATCTTCATTTAACCTTGGGATTGATGTGTGTGGGAGTTATTGAGCTCCAGATTCTTCATAATCATAGGAGAGGTACAGATAAAGAGAAGAAGAAGTAGGTATAATATTACTATAGGTTGTTACCAATTATGATTTGGAGTTTTTTTTTAATAATATTTCTTTACATAGAAGCATTGATTGTACTTTTAATATTTTGGTTTTAAATTTTTCAAGGTTTCCAGCAACAATCAATTGATTGGTTCTTCTATGGGTGGTTTGAAGGTAATTCTTGAAATCTCTCTCAACACATGAAATAGAAATGGGAATGAAATTTCTTATTCCATTTGTTTGTGATATATTTAGGAATTCAATGATGGCGTTGAAGCTTTGTGGGTGTCATATAGGAAGATGTATCTTAAATTTATAAGATGTTAATTTGAGTGAGATATGAATATTTTTGGGTTTGAAAAAAAATAGATGTTACCAAGAATGTTTTATTTTATAAATTTTTACCAAACAGCTTTTGGACACTTGGGTTTGTGGTCAGGAAATTAATGCTATTTTATATTTTAGGAGAGACATAATTGTCATCTTTGGATAACATTAAGGCTATGTTTGGCGTACTAGCTGAAAAGCTAGCTGTTAAATAAAAAAGCTAGCCGATAAAAAATGATGTTTGATAAAACTAGCTGAAAAATATGAAATGACGTAAAAAGACATTTAAAAGAATGTGTTTTTATAATTAATTAAGGGGTATATTTGGAAAATTTTAAAAAAGCTCCTAAAAAGCTAGTCTAAGTAGCTTTTTAAAAAGCTAGCTTATAAGCTACTTTTTTGCTTACCAAACATGACAACTTAAAAAAGCTCGAAAGATAAGCTAGCTTTCTAGCTAGCTGTGACGTACCAAACACAGCCTAAGAATATTATAAATTTAGCTAGCAAGGTGAGAAGCCAAACTTTCTGTACTTTGCTGAAAAGCTAAACTTTCTTCACATTTGTTTCTATATACTCTCAACAGTTTCTTTCTATTAAGATATTCTATTTTAGTATTATACCTTTAGTTATAGTGTTATGTTTTTAAGAATCAACCTATTAAGAAATTCTAATTTTTATCTTTTTCCTTATAAAGAGAACATGAAAATTCTACCTATAAGACATTGTACATTGAAATTTGAAACTTGATTGATTTTGGTTACTAATTATAGCAAAATACTATAGTATTATACCTTCAATTACATTGTCATACACACACTTAAGGTTTTATTTATTTTTTAGTAAAAAACTTCATTGAAAATTTACCTATTAAGACACCATACTTCTAAATTTTTTCCCTTACTTAGAATCAACCTATTAAGAAATTTAATCTATTCATATCAAACTTGTTTGATTTTGATTAACAATTATATCATTATACTTGCATTGTTTTCCTATTATGAACTTTGAAATCTAACCAATTATACTCACATTTTTTAATATTAAGACATTATACACTAAAGTATAACCACTTTAATTCTTTTACCTCTTAAGATATTGCAATAACATTGTATCTAGAAGTACTTGTAATTATTTTTCTTATTAAGATATTGCACTTTGAAAAGCCAAAATTTTTGGTTTTGGTTATCATTACTTTCAATTTAATTCCTATTAAGATATTGTACGTTTAATATTCTTTTTGTACTTTTAAGATGTAACCACAATCTACATCGCACTATATTTTCAAATTCCAACTTATATAACATTGCACATTATATTTTTTTATTAAGATATTGTACCTTTTTTTCATACTTAGACATTGTACTTTCATGTTTATTCCTACTAAGATATTGTATTTTTAATATTATTCTTTGATCTTTAAAAGGTAACACAATATATCATTTTACTTTCAAATCTAACTTGTACAACATTTACCAAATATATCATTTTACTTTCAAATATATCATTAGTTTTAGAAAACTATTTAATAAAGGTGTTGTTTACAGAAAGAAAAAAAATAATATACATCTCATACTTCTAAGTATTTTTTGTTATTAAGACATCGTAGTTTTAGATGCTTATCTAACAAGTTTATAGCATTAAATCTTTAATTACAACATTTTACTTTTAAGTATTTTTCGTAGTAAAATATTGTAATTTTTTTTTTCTATAATGACATTTTAGTTTTAAAATCCAACTAGTTATAGGATTATACCTACACAAATTTCTTTACATTTCAAGTCCTAATGTTACAATATAGACCCCAAATTCTGGAAATTATATCATTTAACTCCCTACGACTAACACTGATAAATTATTACGGCTTATAGCATTGTACTTTTTGTTTTCCTAGTAAAAGCACATTTCTTTTAAAAATCATTTCAATTAAAGCATTGCATTTATTATAAATTTTTTTCTAAGAAAACATGATTACTTTCCGATATTTTTTATAAAGACATTTTTTACAAAATTCTTTACATTTTATTTATCTAGGCATTTTACTTTAAAAAAATTACCAATTAAAGCATTGTACTTTTTGTTTTCTTAACAAAAGCACATTTCTTCTGAAAAATATCCAATTTAAAGAATTGCGTTTTTTTAATTTTTTTTCTAATAAAACATGTTTACTTTAATATATTTTTTATAACAACATTTTTTACTTATCTAAGCATTTTACTTTCAAAATTTTAAGAATTATAGCATTGCACATTTAAAAAAACAAATTATCTCAATTAAAGCATTGCATTGTTTTAGTTTTTTTTTAAATAAAACATTGTACTTTATTTATACTTATTTAGATTTTTTGCTTATTTATGCGTTGTACTTTGAAAATTTACCAATTCCAGCATTGTACTATTTGTTTTCTAAATAAAAGTACATTTTAAAAAAAAATGAACCCAATTAAAGCATTGCATTTTTTTAGATTTTTTTTCTAATTAAACATGATTACTTTCAGATATTTTTTATCAAGACATTTTTTATTTATCTATGCATTTTCTAATAAAATCACATTTCTTATGAAAAATCATCCCAATCATTTTTTTAGTTTTTTTTTCCTATAAAAC